CTCCACCAGCAGCCAACAAAGATGTGAGGAAAGCTAAGCTTGAACCTCGTTCAAGGATGAGGGGAAGCAGCTTTGCTACTACTATTACAACAGCGGAAAATAAAGTGGAAACTGAAATAAGAATGAAGGAGAGAGGCTCACTAGGTACAAGTGTTTGCCTGTTTTGTGGAGGTGGACATATACTGGATCTGTGTTTTCAACTGGAAAGAAAGGCTCATAGTGAGAAAATCGCTTTCTTAAGGGAACACGGTGTGTGTTTTGGATGCTTGTGTATTGGGCACATGAGTAAAGACTGTAGGAAACGCCTCTCGTGCAAAGTATGCAGTCTGAAGCACCCAAGCATACTTCATATCTATCAGAAAGAGAAAGAAACTGACACAATGCAAGCTAAAGGAAAAGCTATAAGCAGTGCTCTTATCTCCGTTCAGTCCAGTGGTCTTACAGGGGCCGGTGAGCCAGATTGTACTCTCTCCATAGTGCCTATTCAAGTAAAGTCTAAGAAGGGACATGAAACATTCCTAACATATGCCTTCCTGGATCCTGGGAGCTCAGCATCATTCTGCACGGAGCGGCTGATGAACAAACTGAATCTCAGGGGAAGAAGAACAGACATTCTCCTTCGGACAATGGGTCAGGAGAAAATAGTTGGAAGTCACATTGTTTCTGACCTGCATGTGGCTGGATTAGACAGCAGTCATTATTGTGAGCTGCCTGACACCTACACCCAGAAAACTATGCCAGTTCATCGAGGCAACATTCCTCTGCAGAAAGACCTTCAGAGATGGCCTCACCTGAAACATGTAATGATTACTGAGATTGATTCAGATGTGGACCTGTTGATTGGGACTAATGTTCCTGAGGCACTGGAGCCATGGGAAGTTATTCGGAGTGTAGACGGGGGCCCATACGCAGTCAAAACTATGCTGGGTTGGACTGTCAATGGACCTCTCAGAGGAGACAGGAGTAGTGAAATTACTTGTGGACAGCCAGATGTCACTGTCAATAGGATATCTGTTGCAAACCTTGAAGATCTGTGGAAGCAGCAGCTAAAGGCTGATTTCCCTGAATGCAGTCAGGATGAACAGATGGGACCGTCAAGAGAGGACTGTCACTTTATGGACTACGTCACAAAGTCTGCTAAGTTGATGGATGGCCATTACTGTATTGGCTTACCTTTAAGGAAAAGGGATGTTAGTATGCCAAACAACAGGAGAGTAGCAGAACAACGTACACTGAGCCTCAAGAGAAGGTTTGATAAAGATGCTTCATTTCATGCTGATTACACCGCTTTCATGAATGACATCCTTTCAAAGGGCTATGCAGAGAAAGTGCAAGTTGTGGATCTGGAACGCAGTGACGGCAGAGTATGGTATATACCACACCATGGTGTATACCACCCAAAGAAGAAAAATATCAGGGTCGTATTTGACTGTGCAGCTACATTCCAGGGAACATCGCTGAATGCGCAGCTCCTACAGGGACCAGATCTTACCAGCACACTGGTTGGAGTCATGACAAGATTCAGAAAGGAACCTGTTGTACTCATGGCAGACATTGAAGCCATGTTTCATCAGGTTCGAGTACCAGCTGAGGATTCAGATCTGTTGAGGTTTCTCTGGTGGCCAAATGGAGATCATCATCAGAACTTAGAAGAGCACAGAATGGTTGCACATCTGTTTGGAGCTACATCGTCGCCAAGTTGTGCTAGTTTTGCCCTTAGAAAGTGTGCAGAGGACCATCGGGAGCAGTTCAGCCCCAAAGTAATCAACACTGTCCTGCACAATTTCTATGTTGATGATTGTCTAACATCTGTGGTCTCAGAGGAGGAGGCAGTGGCACTCTATCATGACCTTTGTGCACTTTGTGCTCAAGGGGGTTTTCATCTCACAAAGTGGATTAGCAACAGACGTACCATGCTTGCTGCTATACCTTCGATGGAGAGAGCGAAAGAAGTTAAGGATCTGGACTTGGATAATGACACACTCCCTGTGGAAAGAGTATTGGGCGTACAGTGGTGTGTTGAGTCAGATGTCTTTAAGTTCAAGATCATGATCAAGGACAAACCCATAACCAGAAGAGGGATCCTTTCCATGGTCAGCTCAATCTTTGACCCATTAGGAATATTGGCACCTGTGGTCCTATCAGCCAAGATGATTCTTCAAGACTTGTGCAGAAGGGAACTTGGTTGGGATGATATTATACCAGCCTCAGCTGCACAAGAGTGGAAAAGTTGGCTGAAGGAGCTCTGCAATCTCGAAGAGTTTAAAGTTGACAGATGCCTAAAACCGGTGGATTTTGGGGAAGTGACCTCTGCTCAGCTACACCACTTTGCAGATGCAAGTGAAGACGGCTATGGAACAGTGACTTAGCTGTTATTACATAACATCAAAGGACAAGTGCACTGTGTCTTCATTATGGGAAAAGCTAGAGTGGCCCCATTGAAACCAATAACCATCCCTCGAATGGAATTGACGGCTGCCGTGGTTGCAAGTCGTATGGACAAGATGTGTAGGAAGGAGCTGCAAATGCAACTTAAAGACTCCATCTTTTGGACTGATAGTACTTCCGTATTAAAGTACATCAGTAATGAGACCTTAAGGTTTCGAACCTTCGTCGCAAACAGGGTTTCAAAAATACGCAGCGTATCAAATCCATCTCAGTGGAGATATGTTCCCACCGCAAGCAATCCTGCCGACTGGGCTTCCAGGGGAGTCAAAGTGGAAACGCTCCTGAAAGATGACACATGGGTGTCTGGACCTCAGTTTCTCACTGGACCTGAAGAACAGTGGCCTGTGAACTGTTGGAGTAGAATACCTCTGCTACGCGCCGTTCGTTGGATGAGGCTGGATCTCTATTAAATTAAGAAAGGAATTGAAAACACCGGAATCAAAGTTATAACAAATTATCTGAGTTTACTTCTAGTAGGAAACCAAACACATATACAAGTTATACAGAGTACTCGAGTACCCCGGACTTTTAGATTTGTGATGCGATGCGGATAAATGCATCGGGACCAGACAAACTCATCAAACGAGAAGAAATTGGACTTGAAGTTTGTGATTCGATGCGGACACAGATATCAGGACCAACAAACTCACCAAACCCAAAAGCAATTTTACACACACAAACGTCAGTATTTCTATCTGTCTTTGGGGCGGAGATTTGTCGATTCTTCCTTCCCACTTTTCTCCCAAGCGAATCAGAGAAGCCCTGGGAAGGAGCTGTTTAAACTGACCACCTCCCCCAAGTGCCCTGACTGGCTGGATTCGCTTCTGGCCGGGTTCAATAGTTCTCTCCAGGACTTGAAATTCCAAAGTCCCCTAAGGTCAAAAGTCAATTCTTATCTCCGTCCCGATCTCCCCTCCCTACCTTTTCCAGGGGATCTTTTCCTATTTTACGATGTCTTTAACGACTTAGAAACAGCATCTGGCTCTTAGAGATGATAACAGCCAATGTTGGTGTGTGAAACACAGAATCTCTGGATCAGTGAGTTTAAAAGTGAGAATAACATTCTTTTTCTAAGTGATTATCAAAACCCGTTCAAACAATACATGTTTACTTCAATACAGTGTAGAATCATATCTTCTTACTTCAGAACCCTGATGGCTCTGAAATGGCACCAGAAGACCCTGAGGTCAAGATAAGTCTGAATGTGAACGCTGTGCAGGTTGAAAAAGAGATGGATGCTGTAACCCGATTGATCAATCACTTCTCTTCTTGGATCCACCTGAAGAAGACGGTTGGTTGGATCCTTAGGTTGAAAAACCTGCTGCTGTGCTCATAGTCGATGACTCAGCACCTCGCAACTCATGGCTTACAGGAAGGATTGTACAAACCATTCCAGACAGAAGAGGACTTGTACGTCAGGTGCGAGTGAAGACAAAAACTAGCCATCTGGACAGGCCTATCACAAAGATCTGCCTTCTACAGGAAGCAGAAGAGCCGTGAGGAAATTAGTGGGTTATTGAACTTCATAGACCTTGACATTGACGTTTTTTCCGACTTTTTACCAAGTGATAGTAAAGATCACTCCTTCATAGGCTAACAAACTATATATATATATATATATATATATTTTTTTTTTTTTCTATTTTTTTTTTTGCCTAAAGAAGAAAAGGACACTTTAACAAAGGACGTTTTATCCTTAAAAGTTTTTTCCTTGATTGTCTCCTACATCATTTTTCAGTTGTGTAATTATTATGTTGATATAATTAGGGGCCGGAATGTAGGAGCCACATTTGAAGTAGTAGTTTCTGTGTTTATTACGGTACATGTTTTTGAGTCACTATAGGTGGTGGGTGTGTCAAAGGATTGGTGTGGTGACATTTGCGGTTATATCCGGTTGCTTTTACCTGCACACTTTGTGATAGATGGAGGGGGAGTGAGCTGGAGAAGGACCATTTTTGTTGACCGCACGCACACACGCATGCACACATGCACGCATAAAAGAATATATGGATATGGACTATTGAACTTTTGCTTGAAAAATAAAAGGTCAAACGCATACTGTTGGAAAGACTGAGTTTTTGCGCGTCCACAGTGTTTTTCTCTTGTTTAGTCCCTCGCGGCACTTTGTTTGAAAGATTACTGCCGCAATAACATGTTTAAGCTCCAAAATAACATAGTTACACTATAGTTAGTGTGTTAGACTTTAACTTTAACCTCCATGTAGCCTCAATTTAGTATTTGTAAGCATGGATGCTTTTCAATGTCCAAATGCTTTTATCAGATTTTTGTCTTAAACTAATAGTTTTTTTTCCCTTGATTATCTTATAGGGAAATGTTTTCACTCTGAATTGTCTCAATTAAATACCAGTTTGAGGCATTAATACAAAATATTTTAAAACACAAGTTGATAGCAGTAACTGTTTACCAGCATGACCTTCTGTTAAACTTTACACATGCAGTACATTACTAGGACATGCACAGACCACGTTTCCACGAAGCACACATTCCATGGCTGTTTTTACTGCATAAAAGAGATTTATTTTAACACTTACCGAAATAAACAGCAACAGTAAAGACAATCCAACTTCAAAGTGTCAGTTCAACAGTATTAGTTGTTCAATAAGATGGTGATGGTAAGAAGTGTGACTGCACGTCCAGTCTTTCAAAGTTATGACTGACTGGCATGTAGTCACATGTTATGTAACGGTGAGGTTGTATAAGGTGTGTTTCTGCTGCCGATAATGGCCATGTTGTTTAGTGTGCATAGAGTGGTGCAAGAACACAGGTTCAACATGTATCTGCTGTGCCATCTAGTGTCAAGTCATTGCATTTAACTTCAAAGTACTCATATTGTTTTTACCTGAACAGAGCAGACAATTTTTTCACAGATGCTGCCCCCATGTTCTTAAACAAAAAATGTGCTAGAAAGCATTCTGCCATTTAACCATATTTTAAGTTTGATTAATAAAGACATGTCACATATATACATGCCATGCATTGTCAAATATTCAATAATACACAATGATGGGAGTAAAGAAACACTGCGATATAAACGTTGTTGATTATATAAGTTACTATTGAATGTTTTCATGGAAAACTTTATATATTTAGCATTATGCTTTCACATGATACTCTCATCTAGTGTTTGTTAAGGAATAATTCTTCTAGATATCTAACCTTTTACTCTGACATGTGTTATCTCCTTTAAGGAAAGGCCTTGGTGCCATATGTGTTGTTGTCACCAGTGTGAGACCGGTCAACTTGACTGGCACGTAGGGTAATTGTTGTGAGAACACTGAGGCACTTCTTTATCGGTGTTTGTGGGCTCTAGGATGTGAAATCCTTGAGGCCATGAGCGTCGGACGCAGATGATTCAGTGTTTAGTCTACTCCTTCAGAGATGTTGATTTCTCTCTGTGAACCTGTTAAAAGGTCTAGCATAGAGAGAGGTTCTTCAGAATTGACGTGGCAACTCTACCGTGTGGTCAGAACCTCTGACTCTTTGATTTGTGATGTGAATCCTCCGGCCGAATACTCTGAATAAACCCATCAGTGTTTGACATCAAAGCTCCAACTCTCACCGTGTCTCCTTCCTGAGTCGGTGACTCCATGCATTACTACACAGAAGTTTCCTCCACAGTGTTTACCAACTTTTTTGCCTTCATCGCCTTAAGACTAAGTTACTTTCTACCCCTTGTTACAGGTTGCATGCAGGTACATTCGATGGCCAGATCAAGGAGAGATTTTTCCCTCCCGACTGTTTTATCCGAATACTTTTCAAAGACTTGAAGATGTACAATTATACATTAATCCAACTCAAAAATAAAGACTAGAAAGCATAAGCAAAATATTATTTAGTACTTTATTGTCATGTTAATCAATTCATGACCCTTCATATTTAATATGTTCAAGGGTACTAACCTTGGGGGAAGGAACCCAAGGTTGAAAAACCACAATCTACTGTAAATAATTGACAAACAAACTGTACACTACTGCAGGAACGTTGGGTGCAGTCACCATTAGCCTTAAGGCCCCTTCATTTTAGGATTATCATGTTTATAGAATCAGCATCTGCATAAAAAATAAAGGTAAATTGGGATTTGATTGATGATTTCTTTCATGTCTCCCCCTCCACCCTGAAGCTCTGTGCTGATCAGCTGTCTCTGGTGTTTACAGACATCTTCAACACCTCACTGGAGACATGCCACGTTCCAGCATGCTTCAAAACCTCCACCATCATCCCGGTTCCCAAGAAAACAAGGATCACAGGATTAAATGACTACAGACCCATCGCCCTGACCTCTGTGGTTATGAAGTCCTTTGAGCGCCTTGTCCTGTCCCACATAAAATCCATCACAGACCCCCTCCTGGACCCCCTGCAGTTCGCCTACAGAGCCAACAGGTCTGTGGACGACGCTGTCAACATGGCCCTTCACTTCCTCCTCCAGCACCTGGACACAGCAGGAACCTATGCCAGGATCCTGTTTGTGGACTTCAGCTCTGCCTTCAATACCATCATCCCGGCTCTGCTGCAGGACAAGCTCTCCCAGCTGCACGTGCCCGACTCCACCTGCAGGTGGATCACAGACTTCCTGTCTGACAGGAAGCAGCACGTGAGGCTGGGGAAACACGTCTCTGACCCCCGGACCATCAGCACCGGTTCCCCTCAAGGCTGCATTCTTTCCCCTCTGCTCTTCTCCCTGTACACCAACAGCTGCACCTCCAGTCATCAGTCTGTCAAGCTCCTGAAGTTTGCAGAGGACACCACCCTCATCGGACTCATCTGTGGTGGAGACGAGTTTGCCTACAGGTGGGAGATGGACCATCTGATGACCTGGTGTAGGGACAACCACCTGGAGCTCAACGCTCTCAAGACAGTGGAAATGGTTGTGGACTTCAGGAAGAACGCAGCCCACAGAACATCTGCTCCCTCATCAAAAAAGCACAGCAGAGGATGTTCTTCCTGAGGCAGCTGAAGACATTCAACCTGCCAAAGACAATGATGGTGAACTTCTACACCTCCATCATCGAGTCCATCCTCACCTCCTCCATCACCATCTGGTACGCTGCAGCCACAGCCAAAGCCAAGGAAAAGGGAAGGCTGCAGCGAGTCATCCGCTCTGCAGAGAAGGTGATTGGCTGTAATCTGCCATCCCTCCAGAACCCTGAGGCGGGCAGGGAAGATAGTGGCCGACCCCTCCCACCCTGGACACAAACTGTTCACCCCCCTCCCCTCTGGCAGCAGGCTGCGCTCCTTCAGGACCAAAACCTCTCGCCACCTGAACAGTTTCTTCCCCTCCGCTACCGGCCTCTTAAACAAGGCCCGGCCCCCCCACTGACACTTTACCTCAGCCACAACGTATTGTGTGCATTACATTAATGCACACAATGTCCAAATACTGCTTACTGCACATATTTCTTATTTCATATTTTATATTCTATAATTCACTGCTTTCTATTTCGCTGTAAATTACTGCTTTATTTTATTGCTATCTAACTATATTTTATTACAGTGTCCTTAAAGATTTTTTGTTTTATATTAGATTTTTTGTTTTATATAGATTTTAAATTAAATTTCAAATTCCTCGTATGTGTGAACCTACCTGGCAATAAACCCGTTTCTGATTCTGATGTCGGATAGGCAATTGACAAACAGTTGTTGGTTTGCTAACTAATATATGAAATTGTATTTGTGCAGTGTCATAACTGTCACAAACCGGTGTGCTATACAAATAGAGGTATTATTATTATCATTATTATTATTATTATTAGTAGTATCTTTATAGTTTTTTGGCTCCTTTGTTGCTAACCTTTTTTCATTAATTCCCAAGCTTTTGTTTGCTTGTATAGCCTATTATATATTGAATTTGTATTAAATATCATTTGAGAATGTTTGGATCTTTTGTTTCTAGGCTCCTGCTGGTCGTGAGCACTACTGCCAAATTAAATAATGTTATATAATATTAAAAAAATTACACTTTAAAACACAATATAATAAAGAGATAGAGTAAATGGAGGTCGTGCAGGGTCATAACTGCCAGAAACCGGTGACAGTGTGCACCATAGCCCTCACCCTCCAGCCCTTTGTTGTTGTTCTCACGCTAATGTGCGAGATCCGTAGAACTGACTCAACTGCGCGGTCACATTCCGCCCAGACTTCCCCCTCTGCCAGCGGCCTGGTGGTTTGAGATGAGTAGAAGATGTCGGTGTCGGGTCTGAAGGCCGAATTGAAGTTTTTGGAGTCCATTTTTGACCCAAACCACGAACGATTTAGAATAATAGACTGGAAACCCGATGAACTCAGTTGCCAATTCAACGTTACCGGAGAGAAGCTGCTGATCATCCACTGCAACATCACGGTGAGTCCAGGCCAAGATAACCAGCCACTACCGACTGAAATCAAGGAGCGATCCGTGTTTACTAACTACGATTCAAGTGTTTTAGTTTATTGCTGCGCCAAGATTTTAGTCGTCCCGTTGGTAAAAGATAAACAGAACACAGCACCCAGTGTTTAATTCACTTTGAAAGAGTGAACCAGCAAACATCGTATAGTAACGACGCTGCGGTAGCTTAATGCTAGCTGCTCACTGGAAGTAGTGCTAGCTTGTGTCGTTGACTCGTTAGCCAAATTAACTGCGTTACTGCTAGCAACTACGGCCGTTAACTTTATAACTACTGAACTGTATTTAGTTACATTTCACGGCATTTAGCTAAGTCTTACTTAGACTTTCACACATCGAATAAAGATTATTCTTATAGTCCAATATTACAAAAACACGTATATCTCAGTGGGCTTTACAGCTTAACAAACATGAATGACCGTGCTAAAAGATAAATACAATTACATGAAAATAATAAAAATACAAGATAAATGTCTAATACAAATAATAAAAATGAACAGAGATAGAGTAGGAACGAAAAGACAATAAAAACAATGACATGCGGGACAAAGATAGGGTAATCCTAAACCAATTTTAACCATATGTTCTTTTAAAAGGAAAGTTTGGACACTGTCCCAAAGCTTTAATCAATAAAAACATTTATTTAAAAATAAATATATGTATATATCAAAGGAAAGATTGTATATTTGGTTCTCAGGTGGTCCCTTGAGGATTTTATTTGAATTTAAAACTAATTATTCTGCTAACTCAAATGTAAAAGAAATTCAATGCTTACATTCTTTGAGTTTGATAGGCATATCTACATGCTTCTGTGACGAAACATATTCCCGAATTGGGATCAATAAGGCATATCTTATTTATCTGAACATCAATACCACTGATTGTAATGTTAATATATTTTTTATCTTAAATACAGGGGTTTAGTGAACTCCTTTTTCAGTAAATAGACGGATCCCTGTGGCGAATATATAATAAAACTGTGACATTACTGTCTTTTATCAGGACACCAAATTATTTAACAAAAGATTAAATTGAGATATGAAGGAGTCTGAATTATACTCAGTGTTACCAACTAAACGTGTGAGGTTGGCTGAAACTATATTTTGTCAACCTTAGATAACAAAATAGTTCTGGTATTTTTTATAAATGTTCAATACAAGTTCCTTTATACATTATGAGCAATGTAAATAATCTGAAAATAGACTAGGCGATATCACAAACATCTCACTCTTTGCATGGCACCTGTATTTGTATTGTTCCGGTGGTGCAGATGTCTTACGAACAGCACCCCGACCACATCCTCCTCTCACACGCTCTTGCACTTTTGCTTGATTCTGGGTGACACAGGCATGGCTTGTTACATTTTTTTTTAATAGCCATGTCATGTCGAGACTCAAATTGATTCACCCTCTTTGCGTCGGCTCGATCTCAGAATCTCAAGAGTGCATTCAGCATCAAAATCTGAATCTAGAATATGCACATTTAACACATCTGATTAGCTGGATCATGTGTGATCACCTGCTCTTTATTGGTAGGACACACCTGATGTATATGTTATAAGAAGAGCACGAGATGGGAAACATGCAGGGATTTTAATACCTGGGAGTAGCATTGAAAACCACTGCCTTCGTTATTTGAACAGGTTGTATTGGGCAAGATTATATGCGAGTGTCTCCTTTTGAATTTGGCTTAGTAATTGCTAAATCTCCAGAGTTCGCTTAAGTGTTGAATAGCATTCACTTAAACATTCAAGTCATAAGTATGCAAACAATTGTTCTGAAAGCTCCGATATATCCTGACTGGCGATTTATAGACCCCTACTCCTAATGCACAGTACTCTAAGGCTTGATTTGTCCAATAATATCTGTCTGTTAAGTCGTAAAGCCAGGAATCTTTCCCATCTTTGGCATCATCCCATTATATTACATGATACACTCCCTGAGTCATACCCATCTGTTACTTAATATCTAATCATCACCCTTGCTGTATAAATATGTGCAAATATACGGGTATATGGTCATTCAGAATGTGACAGGGTTGTTTACTGGGCCATGTAATGTTAATGTTACACTTTTCTAGGACTGTACCCGAATATTCGTTCGTTGGAGTACTATTCGGGTTTCAATTTCGTTATTCGGATATTCGTTTTTTTTGGCAGCTGCACTGCGGCTGCCAAATTGAATTGATTGAAATCTCCAATATCAACGTAAGAGCTTGTGCCTCTTCGGGGGGGTGCTAACACTTAACCATAAACTTTATCGTTTACTTTCTCCGTCTTTATATGTAGATATGACTTTTCTCCGTCACGTTGTTTCCATAGCAACAACAACTTCCTGTCAACAGCGCTAACTCTCCTTCAAAATAAAAGCATGTCCATACAAAATAGGAAGCCAAGCCAAATTACACTTAAGACATACAACTGCAACGAAAGTAACAAACACAATGCAATATCCTTTTCAATTTCAAAGAACACAAATTGGGTTAAATACATTAACAAATAAAACAACAATACTGTAGAATAACAAAATGAATGCCGTGAATAAACCGAAATACACGTGTTGAAGCGGTTTGCTCCATTTAACATCCTCTTTAGAAACTTAAAAAAAAAAAAAAAAAAACATTTGGTACAACCCTAACATACAATCTGTAGCCATTATCATCCAAGCATGACCAGCTTAATTTTCATATCCTTCTGTTGTCTGTTGCAGGAATCCTATCCCTCAACGGCACCAATATGGTTTGTTGACTCTGATGATCCCAGTCTGGCTGAAGTGTTGGAGCGATTAGAGGATGTGAGAAAGGGAAGCACATTGGTAAGATTGAGGATGTGGATCCAGCTTTACGTTTGTTTACTGCTATAACACTGCAGCCTTTATAGTATTGTTCAATTGCAGTTTCTCTTTAATGATTTATATCTTATCTTGCTCATTGTTCTCGCAGCTCCTTCAGCAGTTGAAGCGCCTCATCTGTGATCTCTGTCGGCTGTACAACCTGCCACAGCATCCAGATGTAGAAATGCTCGACCAGCCTCTGCCTGCTGGCCCCATTACCCAAGAGCGAAAGGTAATCACGTAAAGCAAGATTTAAATTCAATGTCTCTTTGTTGCGTTTGAAAACTCACTGCATGTCAACTCACAATGTTTTACCACATTGCAGCATGGGCCGTCAGATGAGGTGACCTCTGAAGAGGAAGAGGAGGAAGAAATGGGAGAGGTATCTATGTGTATTAATGACAACTTAATGAATTCATGGTATTATAGCTTACTTGTTCATTTCGTTCCATATTTCTGAATATAATTGATACACTTACAGCAGGACATTGACCTGGACCAAGACCTGGACCATTACGACATGAAGGAAGAGGAGCCAGTTGATGGAAAGAAGTCAGAAGATGACGGGATAGAAAAAGAAAATCTGGCCGTCTTGGAGAAGATTCGTAAAAACCAGAGACAGGATCACTTGAATGTAAGTTCTCATTCAGGTCATGTTTTTCTTTATTACGTTTTGGTGACTTTAACTGAGTAGAGGAGCTTTTTCCCCTATAAATCATATTTTGGATGCTAACTTTTGGCAGCCAGCTCCGAATCACTCATCACGAAGACATTGGAGTCTCCTGGAAAGTGTTTCATTAAATCTTAATCCAGTAGTGAATCTAAATCCTTTCAAATACCTTACCAATCTTATTAGATATGAAAATGGGATATAAGATATTGAATGTTGGTCAAATTCATGCTTTCTGTATCAAATGTTTTTATACGATGAGATAAAACTTTCAATTAAACATTTGTTAGCGCTGGAGTTGAGCAAATCTCAATATTTTGTCAACCAGGAACCTTTCGGAAAAATAAAATTGATAACCACTTCTCCTGGATAGTTTCACAGTATCATAGGATTATACTATAGCCATTTTTTTTCTTAGTCCTTCTGTCAGTTTCACCATGTTTAGTTCAGCAGTAGCGCTGCGTCCTAAATGCCGACTCATCGTTCCTCTCAGTGCTGACACAGTGCTGCCGCAGAGCGCTCCAGCAGAAAGAAAAAAGCTAGTCTGTCCTGTAAAAAAAGTTTAGTTGGGTCCCAACATCGTCCAACAATGCAGAGGACAAAATATTACTGCTTAAAATAGTAACAGTACACCACACTGTAGTAGGAGAGATTATCCTAAATTAAACTGAATTCAATTGCTGAATTTATTCAGATTCAAAAAGGTAATATTGTGAAATATCCTAAAATAAGTTGTATCATTACTGCATGGGCCTGCTTATGATCAAATGTTTTTTTTGTGGGCTTATGGTAAAAAGGCCTAGTACCTTTTATCACTCAGAGTAGGTTGTCCTGTTAAGTGTAGAAAACGCTCAATTTGTGCTGCTATTGATTGATATTAATGTACAGGGCAGTCAGGCTGTCTTGATAGCCCTGATGTTCCCCTGCTCAGCCTTACAGTGGAGGTGAAGCGTCTTCCTGTTCCCCCAGGTGTCCGACCATCTGTGTGATTAACCTTTGTGTTGCAGGGCGCAGTGTCTGGCTCCGTGCAGGCCTCGGACCGCCTAATGAAGGAACTCAGGGAGATCTACAGATCACAGAGTTACAAGACAGGTGACTGCATTGACACATTCCCCACAGTGACAGGTCACTTTTATTATGTCAGCAGCAGATTGAAGTAATGCTCTGTGTTTGTGTCACGTTTCTCACAGGTATTTATTCAGTCGAGCTATTCGGCGACAGCCTTTATGATTGGCATGTCAAGTTGAGGACGTAAGTTCACATATTCAGTTTGTTTTAACATTTTCAAATATTGTGTAGTGTTTTCGGTTATATTTAACCTGTTCTTTATTACAGGGTAGACCCAGATAGTCCTTTACATAGTGACCTGCAGGTCCTAAAAGAAAAGGAAGGAATGGACTACATTTTCCTCAATTTCTCTTATAAAGTGAGTCCTCCTAATAATATTAGTCAATTGTTTTATTTGATCAAATAATTTTCTGTAGACTCAAGATTTTTGTTTGTTTTTTTCAGGATAATTTTCCTTTTGACCCCCCTTTTGTACGGGTTATTTCACCCGTGCTCTCCGGAGGGTGAGTGTGAAGTGCCAAGTTTTCATATAAAATCCTCTGAAGACAGTATTCACTTAGTTTGTCCACAATTGTTGTGCACAATTTTATCAGTGGATTTTGACTTCTGTATGAAAGATTTCACTCAAAATATAAAATTGTCGCTTCATGATTGAAGTAACAAGACTGTGAAGTTCTTCATATTTTATACTGAATTTCTTTTTGTTCTCGATTTCAGTTATGTTCTTGGAGGAGGGGCCTTGTGCATGGAGCTTCTCACAAAACAGGTTTGTTAAAGTGTGATGCCTTGTATGACATGTTTTCCCTCACCTTTAACAGCACAGTTAATGTGTATTTTGTGTGTGTTTTCAGGGCTGGAGCAGTGCCTATTCCATAGAATCTGTCATCATGCAGATAAATGCCACACTGGTTAAAGGAAAAGCCAGGGTGCAGTTTGGAGCCAATAAGGTAAATTATGTCATTAATCTGGTCTCAGTGTCATACTATCCGACCATATCTAAAAGCAACACATTGCAAAAAAACTGCTGTCAGAGAGGTGATGTAGCCCACACTTCACATGACAATTAGTTGATGGAAAAACTTAGACAACAGAGTAGTGGGAGAGGGTTAAATAAATACCCTTTTCAATAATTGGTTAAACTATGCTTATGAAGCATACTGGGGCCCTAAGAGGCCTTATTGTATGAAGCAGTTGGGTTTCAGTAGAGAATTCAAGAGAAGTGTCTCTAGTTATATCCTAGATATATTTACACTTAATTTCAAGTGTCTTGCATTCAGATAAATGAGTTGTTCCTTCAGATTGTTTTCTGACAAAGGAAAACTTGGGAGGAGTTACGTTTGCGTCTTGCCATTGTATGCCTCTATTGGAGCTGATAGTAAGAACAAACTGAGAAAGACTTATGGGAAAGAAAGATGGCAATTTACATTTTCCCTACTGCATGGAGAACAATTTCTGTGAATCTTACAGAACACTATTTGTTTATTTCAGAACCAGTACAATCTTGCCAGAGCACAACAGTCGTACAAGTCCCTTGTGCAGATACATGAAAAGAATGGTGAGTAAATATTCCTAAATGTCTGAGCCTCAGTAGACACACAGTGGTTTGGATCCATTTGCAAAGAGGTTTCTCTCTCTGTCTTCACAGGCTGGTACACACCCCCTAAAGAGGATGGATAAGGAGCTACGACCGCTATGCACTGGGAACATGTCTTTGGGTCAAAGTATCTTGTTTTCTTCCGAATATTTCCCCCCCTCTCTGACTCTACTGGGGATATATCATCTTTCTCGCGGACACCATCTCGTTGGCTCATCTGACATGTATTCCTTCGCCTCGCTCCCGTAAAGACTTTATCCTGGTATCACCTCACGTCTCCCCTCTCTGTTTGAGTGAGGAGGATGTGAGGGTATCACTAGTCCTGTTTTCTAAATATGCTCATTTGTCTTTAAAAAAAAAAAAAAAACTTTTCTCCCTTTTAGATGAGGGGAAATGCTTTTACTTTAGCTGCTTTGACAAAATGGGCTTCACCATCAGTCAGTTAGCCTTCCTTCAACTGGGAACTTTAACAGGAGATTGAAACTGAAGCTCTGGATGCGGCCCCTCACTGCACCTGTTTTTATTGGTCACAACTTCTTCCCCTTCTCTTTCTTTGGGAAGTGTACTGGTACCTAACTGCAAACATTTTAGAAATATTATTCAGCGATTGTTTTTATTATTTGAGCATCCTAGACGATAAATAAATACATTTCATTTTTTTATCTTAAATTGAGGTAACCTACCACCCGGTATATTTGAACTCTTTCACAAATATGTTAAGTGTCTGACAAAGCAGAATGAAATGCTGCAATGTTGTCCGACTAAGATGAGCTGTTGTCTGTGAACAAATCCAGCAGTGGTTGATTTAAAACAAGGCAGGCGGACATGAAAAGTCTGCACTTTGCATACCTTTGGAAGAGGATATATTACCACTAGAAGATGATATGAACTTTTGACAGATCTAATACTGAAGCTAAAGAGCTTTTCTTTTTGCCTCATTTGTTTTTTTAACACAATGACCCTGCAACCCTCGGTCTGGCCTCTGGTCCGTGTGGTTGGTTTGATGCTGGAAATACAGTCAGTGTGTTGAGCAGAATCACACAGGGATAGCTTCACAGAGGGTGTAAATGAAGGGTGTTTGAATGTGATTTTTTTCTTCTTCATAATTCTGCCCAGTTTAGCATCTTGTGTGTCATTTCCTGACATGCTTCGATTGTAGTGGTTTGCCCCTGCCCAGGTTAGATTTGCTTCCTTGTTACATCTCCTCTCTGCTGTCAGCAGCTTAAAATCTACCATTTTCCACAACAATGTACCATAATATGTCACTTTTGGTTTGTAACAAGAAGGATCCTTCTGAACTGACCTGAAACTCTGTATGAAACTTTAACCATGCAATATACCGCAGTACGTCATCGCTACTGCTGTTCCCCATACTACAGGACACACACTGTATCTATCAATCTGTCTGCTCTTTTGCAGTTTATTTGTTAACACTGTCTGCAAAAGTATATTTTAATGGCAACTCAGGTAACAAACAATACTTAAGAGGGGAATCTGTACATGGTTTGAGTTATTTTCTTGGTTTAATTATTGCTCTGTACAGCTGACATTAAGGCTTACTCACACATCTGATGTTGAAAACTTAAATGTAAACGATAATATGTCCCGCTTGTTTCTATTAATTAAAGCAATGTATGAATGACATTTGCAGTAAGATGCCATTTTAACAGGATTGCAGTTGCATGATGACCATCCCATGTAATGGCTCATCAGTACACACTTTACTATCTTGTTCTTATTTTTAAATCCCAAACTAATACTGAAATAGATTTGATTTCAGTGTGTGATCTTTACATATTCCTGATAAAAATGTTTGCACAACTGGCAACAATGTGCCTGGAGAGGTCAATTATAACAACAAACACATTGCGAGCTAAATATTTTAAAATCAGGAAGAAAGAAAGCACACATCTTGTTACATGTCTGAAATCGCTGAGGGGAGGGATCATCGGGTCTCGTTACGACCTCGTCTGAAGGGCATGTGTCGAGATTCAGAGACGACTGGAGTTTGATAGTCATGCCGTGGTAAATAGACCTGCACGCTTCTTTAACTGGACTGTGTTCAAAAGATAGTTTTGTCCCAGCTGTCGATTCATTTTCTGGCACGGACAAAACTTGATCAAGCCTGGCACCGTCGGCTCGCTTTGGTTTTATTTTTCATTTTCCATTTGAAGACATTTTGACCATGTACAGTAATTTGTAAACTTGCATCAAGTTTATGAATAAAGAATTTTAAGATTATTGCTGTTTTACTGGGGTCCCTGTGTATTATTTTCACTGTACTCAATTGATTGCAGATGTATTGGGCTGGTATTTTAATAAATGAATAAAATAATTTACTCCTGACACAACTCTCATGATTTTGTATAAGTGTTGTTTCCTGTCTTGCCGCTCTGCAAATTCACATCAAAAACTTCGGTTTTCACTCAGCTTTGGTATTAACATTGACAAAAAAAAGAAAAACACTCAATCTGTTGAGTGACTTGAAAATAAAAAGGCATTATACCCTTATTCCTACCTTTTCAAGAAACAGAAATCAACATGGTATCATAACACTTGAACATTGCTTCATTGAGACAAGAACGAGGAAGGTTGTTGCATTTAGTTCATTTTTTACTTAAAGAAATTAAGACTTTTAGGACTTAAGTCCAGGCTAAAATTCCTTCATTGTGTCTTAAAAGCTTATCCTTTTTTAATTATGAAAAATAATCTGCAACAACTAACTCAAGTAAAGAACTTTGCTACAATTCATCACACCTGAAAACATTATGGAGCATTGGTTCAATATACACCTAAATGTTGTGAAGCAGAAGTCATGTTATCCACAGCTTGTTTGAAATAAATGAACTGGAGACATTGAACCTACTGAGAAGAGTTGTTGTTCTTGTTGATATGACTAAACAACATATCAGTATTCATCAAGAATAGGAGTCGCACTGTTCAGAGGAGCTCACACTGAAGTTGATTTGAACCCATGGAACAATGATTCATTCACATGTGGTTGGATGGATGAGTATAAGAAACCTTTATTTTCAACACCCTTCCATCCTGCTTTAATTCATCAAATACAAAATTAGTTTTAGGTTTTGTGGTAAATGGTTTTTAGGTTGTTTGTGTTGTCCAACAAATAACCCAATTGGATCCATGTTTCATCTACAACATCGCATGCATGAAATAACAAAACAGGATGCAACAATAACTGTTTAATATCTATTAGGGTAAGACCAAATAATACAAAAAGTAATACACAAAAATGTATTCCTCATTTACGTCACTCATGGAGACACAGCCTCCTCAAATGTTTCATTCAGCTAATAAGAGCATATTTCTATTGAATGTGTTTATCCATGGCAAGTATTTACCCCAGTCATTATATCGTTATATCTAGCTATGGTATAGTACATGATAATACATATCAAACGACATACAGTACATGTGGGAACATGGTGGACTTAATGGGAAATGGCTTTAAAGAAGCTTTGATACATGAAATGCAGAGTATCAGTAGTATATCAAATGCACTGCAGTTCCTGCTGCACAATAACTATACAGCTGTCGTTTCCATAATCACATTAACTGTGCAGTATGTACATATGGCAGATCCAAAATTCACCTTGACCACTTACTACACAAAGGAAAAGGACTTGTTTTGTTCACCTTTGTGCAGACGTCACACTTAATTTATAGAACTGATCAGCTAAACGTTGTGCAGTTGCTAACAGATGAGCGTGTGGATGGTACTGTCTACAGGGTTACACTTCATAACTACGGTGTGCATCTGCTGGTGACAATGTTTTGCAGGTGTAAAATTATACTTGTAGTGTCCAGCTTGAAAACAGGTCAATTTTCAATCCATAACAGTTTATGTTATGGTTGTTACTCTAAATGTCTATATTTGAAGCCTGCAAAGGATGCCACTTGATCTTATTCATTCTACTGCTTACTATATGTCTGTTAGTATTGCTCGACTGTGATCCACTATGCATTTAAGTTGCACTGATGTCAACAGGTGCAAAACATCTAACGTTTAAAAAATCATAATACAAAAAAACCTCAAACTCTGTTACCCACAGCCATGGAAAGACACAACGAACATGTGCTTCAAACTCATCCACACATCATCCAAAATACATGAAATAATAACAGGTTGGTACAAAAAGACAACAACTGAAAAGTAAAACAACAAACAGCCTATTGAATACCACACCATCACAATCAGACGAGACGACTCACTGGATTGAAATAACGAGCTTTCAGTCACAAATCTTCACATCTGTTTTCAACTCTAACACTGTTTTACTGTAATAACCCACTACTGAGTCTTGACTTGAGTTTCGGACTAAACAGCAACACATAAATATTCTCTCCTTCAGTTTCACCTCATAAAGAAATAATTGTCTTCATTTTTTCTTTTATATAAATGTCATATTACACCTACTCATAGAATAACACCGACAGCCACGGAATGACACACTAAGGCCTGAAATCCAGAGCTTAGAAACAAGTAGTTATTGAAGCATTTACATGGAGGGATAAGTGGGAGAATTTGCCAAAGGGGTGAAAACATCCATCACTTCATACAATGCTATGACCACCTACAACAATGATTATCAATATAATATTTAGTGTAAGTCCAACCTGCTCGTGTTTTGGTTTTCTTTCTCTTTTAACCTGTACACTGTTGATTTGGAATGTTTTATCCAATGAACCGCAATCCTAAATGCTGCATGTGCTTCACTTTAACATGTATAATAATCATTTATTTTACTGAAATCCACTCCACACATAACCATAATGGGTACTAAAAGCTGACACCTTCTTAGGGCTTTACAGGTAGAATTTAAACCCAGCTATTAAACCTTTCCTGATAATTAAAATGAAAGCTTCGCTGACACAGAGTAAAGAAAAACACAATCAGGACACCAAAACATGTAAAATATTTTTTTTCTGGGATTTGAAAGTTCTTGAGTTAGGAAAATAATAATAATAATAAGAAATTCTGATTCTATTGTCCAGATTTAGGCCAAATTCAACAACAAACATTTACGTATAGTTATCACATTGGCCAGTTTTTAGCATTTGGTGTCTTTCAAGACTAATTAAATTAAACACTCTTAACTTAATAGCTACTTAAGTACATTTGAAAAAACCACATTAAAATGAATTAAAGGATGTTTTAAAAGTGTGACAGGAAGAGAGGTCACTCTGTGATGACAACAGATGAACCTACCAGAATAAACTGATGAAGCTCAGAGAATAGTTTTACTGACTTATTTAATTAAATCCCACGTCTATCAGAATTTAATAAAAGTACACTTCAACTAAAAACATGACTTTTCTCTACCTTGTTCTGGTTGAATTCAGCTTGTACAGTGTTATAATGAAGGGCACCTAATTCTGAATTGTGTTCTTAATTGATCCCTTTTTATCTCTCCCACTCGGCAGCATGGCCCCCTCCTCCGCCCTACATCGGTTCGTCGTAGTTGTAGGTGGGAGCTGCTGAGTACTGGTTCTGCTGCATGCCCCCCTGCTGCATGCCCCCCTGCTGCATGCCCCCCTGCTGCATGGCCCCCTGCTGCATGGCCCCCTGTGCGGCTCCCATGGCAGCCTGCTGAGCTGCTTCCTGGACGTGGGGGTTCTTCCAGGCCCCAGTGGCCCACTCCTCCTGGGCCTTACCCATGCTGCCGCCACTGCCTCGGTAGAGGTTATGCACCTGCAAGAAAAATTGTATTTCAAAAGGTATTTTACCATCTTTACAAAACAGTGTTAAAAATTGGTTTTGAAAAAACCTTGGTATTATTTCATGATACATGGCACTGAGCAAGACCTGGAATCACAGCTGGTGCTCTAGCACAATGTGTTGGTGGGGCTCCTATTAGGGGCAATCATAATTTAAGAGGGTGGTACCTCTCCATTCATTTTGTGTTTAATTGCAATTAAACTAACTATTTGGCTGATATGAGGCTTCAATAGGCATGAAGCGGTTTCCACAAACATAAAAAAACGGTCTTAACCTCTTAGAAAAATGTAGAATAATAGTATGATTATATATTAAAGAGACTTTTAGCCAATAAAAGCATTTATGTTTTTAGAAAAGTAGAAGAAGAAGATTAAAACCTCCTGGGACCCAGCCCATTGACCCACATTTTGTTAACATGCATCTCCTTTTACTCTTTTGAGCTACTCTATCAATCTCGGATGTACTGTACAGAGGACATCCTGGTCTTTCCAGTGATATGTCATTGGTTAAAATTGCATGCTGGGAAGTTCCTCTTTCTTTTCATCCAAAATGGCTGGCATACCAAAAACAAAATGTTATAGAAGCAGGAGGAGAAGTCAAATATTGTTGAATAATTGTAATTTTTACCATGAAAATCATATATGTTCTTGTTTATTAACATGTGAGGAACTATATAATTAGTTCTGAAAGCAATTAAATAATTCAAGTTTTCAAATAACAGCTCTTTTATAAATGTCCATTCTAGTGGACGTCAGGACCATCTTCATGGACTTTATGACTCAATATTGAGGTACTTTTCCCATTGACTACAAAGTCTTTGAAGATCTGGAAAGATTCACCATAAACCAAACTAGTTTTTTAGTCACCAAATAAACAGCAATGTTCAGATCAATTACTTATTTATGTTTTAAATAAAGGTGAATGTATTATTGTATTAATATCACTCTATAACCATAATACGTTACATAGTCTATCTGTTAATTTTGGCTGTCTTTTCAAACTAAAATGGTCCCGACGTCCTCTACAGTGGACATACTGTAACATTTAAAAATTAAATTAAATTAAAAAAGTCTAAATTGCAAGATGTTTTTTTAACCCTAAATAGGTAGGAAATCACAAAAAAAAGGAAATTGGAAGACACTTTTTTTCCTCGGGTCCCAGGAGGTTAAATGACTTAGGTTAGGTAGGAAAGGTTACCTTTGTGAGGGCGATGAAGGACAGAACAGCCACGGCAGTGAACATGATGGTGGGAATCAGCATGACCACAGCTGAGCCTACGTTGGTGCTGAAGAACGTGATGGTAGCCAGCCAGCCACTGATGGGAGCAAAAGAAGAGTCAGTAAAATGTTAAGGCAAGGCACTTTGGCAAGGAATATTTAAAACCTGATTTAAAAAAAATGTTTATTATCAATTTAGTCATCTTTAAGAAATACTTAATATAGTACATTAACACAATTATACCATTCCTAAATAAACTTAAATATCATTAATTCTAATTGTATTGTTTGATATAAGTAAGGATCCTTTAACTAAAAATGTATAAACTATCATTTACAATTAATGAATGATGGTTACTATAAAATGTTAATCAAACGTGCAGATGGGGGAATAAACTCTAGAAAAGGGTGTTTACTTTCTTTAACTCGTTAACCCATCTTTATTTACGCTTCATATCAAACACATTACATATCTGTATTAGTCAAAGCTCTTACCACACTCCCCAGCCTGGTATGCCAACAGTCTGGATGATACTGATCACCACCTGGGCCATGAAGACGAAGAAGAAAGCCATAAAGTTGAAGGAGCTGTCGGTTCTGCACAGGGAGAATAACGATCATCAGAAATGATGTGATTCAGCAGAACAGCAGGTGCAGAGTGATGAGTAGGGTCAGAGCGGGAATAGCTTACTTGAAGGCCTTGTAGATGGGCCTGAACCAGCACACGTAGGAGCAGGGGGTGAAGAGGATGAGCCACAGGATGGCCATCCCGAAATTGGTTGCTCCGCCACCTCCACACATCCACGCCAGACAGCCAATCAGATTAATAGCCAGGGTGGCGCTATTCACTGTCAACATCACAGAGAAGGAGCGATGATGACCATAACATGGCAGACTGAAGACAAAAGCCTCTTCAGTGAATATCCCACAGGCTGCATTACTCATAATACAGAAGGAGTGAATCACTACCAATCTCAGTAAATACTAAACACCACACTTTCAGTTCTATATTAACGCTATAATGAAGCAGCACAGCACACAGTTTCTACAAGTACCAAACTAATCTACTTATTCCAGCAGACTTACATTCTTGTTTTCAAATGGCAGAACCTATGTGGCAATGAAAGAGATACCATGATGCTCATGTGAATATTACAAATCGACACATTACTATTATACTACTATTATGTAATGTGACCACTAAAGGCTGCAACTTGTGATTTTTCTTAAAAGATCAAGCTTTTATGCTTTTTGGTGTTTTCCCTTTCCCGTAGTAGTGTTATATAGTTTTTTGTTAAAGTAAATGGTCTGCAAAGGCTAAAATCCCAAACGTCCTGCCAGAGGGAGTTTCTCTACCACACTCCCCCCCCCCCCCCCCCCCCCTGACTGAAACACCTCAATAGTAGTCCTTTTTTTACTTCTGTAACATAGTGACATCACCATGTAACACTTGCACTTCTAATGGCTAGTGCTCCAACACGTTTATGTTAGGTTAAGGGGCGGGACATCTCTAAGTGGTTGGCCAATCACAACAGAGCCGGCCAGCTAACCAATCAGAGCAGACTGCGCTATAAACCTGCAAATGATCATAGGGTCCCTTTAATCTACCAGTTATTTCCTTGTTTAATAGATACATAGTTTGGTATATGTAACGAGTCTATGTATGACTGAGATGTCCTAACATTTCTTGTTTGTTTTTTGACCAAGACTCAATATATTTGATCTTTAATCATTTGTAATCTGAAATCTAACATTTAAGGAGCTGGAGCCAGAGAAATTGGCTTAAAATAACCCTTAACATTTTAAATCAGTCATTTTCTGCTGACCAACCTGATTAAAATCAACCTAAGCAAACAAACTTGGACACCATTTTTCAGACTTGGCACAGAAATGCACAAAAAGCCTAGTTAATATATTAAAATGGCTCTGTGCCGGACAATGAGACCGGTCCATCTGGTCTCACAGCCACGTTTGAGTGTCTCTGATGTTTAGTTTAGTTCTCATGATGTTTTGGGTAAAACAAAGTGACACGGCATGAGAACACAGGAGCAGTGGGCAGGTTAACAGTTTGCACTATGATGCATACAACATACTTAAACTTGAGCTGTAGTAAACAATGTACATGTAATACTGTCCTGCAGCTCAATACACAATTTTATACTGCAGGAACACTCACAGATCCATAGGTAGTAGAGCCGCTTGCACATGGTGCGATGCTGGTCTGGGATCTCATTGAAGTCTTGGTAAAAACACGGCCTGAGAGGGATGAATCGAGGCAGGGGAGGGAAGTTGTTTTCTAGGACACAAGACACAGTTCAAGGATTAAATTAAGTGGGCTGATGTTTTTAGATTCACATGCACACTATGCAGTTGAACAGAGAGATTACCTGCCATGATGACCGTTCAGTATTTTCCTCCACTTCCAAACAGGCAAAAAAACTTCAATCTCAGCTTCCTTGCAAACCAAACTGCAGAGAGGGAACAGAGCTGTTTTATTAAGTGCAATATCACTCACTGCTCTCCTTGAAGACAGCAGGGCCACAGTCCTCCATAGGCCTTCCTGTGGATGCATGCACACACTTCCCTCGAATAAAATACCTTAAATCCTTACATGATTTGATTAAATGTGGTACCCATCCCTTATAGAGCATCCACCCTTATTGTTGCGCGATTCATTACAATCGACAATGACAAACATGTTTCTGGGCCACATACTACAGCTGTGTAATCCGCGCCGTGTGAAACAGGGTGGCCTTGTCGTGATTCCCAACATGTATTCATAACCTATGTGTGCAAAACAGGCGTTACAGGCCTACACACTTCACAAATTGGACTATAGACCTACAGGATGATGGATATGTATTTGTTTAGCTCTAAAACCTTCCAATAGGCTATAATCAACCCACTTCCACGGTATGTGGCTGTGTTTGTAAGCCATATTTCAATGCATATGATGGGGGATGTAGGTAGAGCTTTGAAGGGCATCTTTCTGCCACAAAGTATTGCAATCTCTGCCTAGAAAAACAGACTGATCCTGGTTTATTTTCATGCATTTGATGCTTAAACGGTGTCCTATGTGTGTTTCTGTCGGCGGATGGCAGTGATGCTGCAGAGGGGCACAGTGCATCGTGATCCCACAGGCGATGGAGAAGCGTCCTTCAGCCTGTGCGACACGGTGCATCGGTGCTTCCTCTTCATTCGGACACCGAGCAGGTCAAACCCGAAGTCCTCTCAATATACCACCATGGATACACATTTTATATGCGTTACAAAAGCTACAATTAATTTTAATACATCGTATCTCCTCCTCCTGTTATGAATGAAAATGCATTGATTAAAACGCCTTACCTCCAGCTCAGTGCGAGAATGTGGCTAAATTCCCTCCGTTCGTTTAAATAGCATGCTATTGTTAATCTGCATGAAAACACTCTGAAGAAAACGATTGCATCTGGCGCTGCTAAAATAGAAAGATGTTACGTTATTCCTCAAATGACGGGTTTGGGTGTAAGAGGCGGTCACGTGACGCGAGGTCTTTTCTTTACGCACATACACCCCCCCTATCCGCTGCTTTACCCGCCTGCACAGCATCAGGGCCCCAGGCACAAAACAATGGGATTTGTTGCTGGCCTCAACCGACCAATCAAAAAGCAGGAATGTTTCATCAAGTCCCGCCCCTTCATGATGCTGTCCACAGTGCTGAAAGTCAGAGGAGGTATTACTCAGTCTCATCTGATTGGCTTATCACATCATTAATTAAAGTGCTTTACAAACAACACAACAAAAAATGTGAAGATGCATGACAGTCCTACATCTACAAACAATATTATAATCAGAAACAGATGTATTGCTAGGTAGGTTAACACATACGAGAAATGGGTCATGGTGTATATGCTGCATACATAAAACAGAGTCAAATATACAAATTTAACAAATGTAAGGCCCATATAGTCTTTAGCAAGAACTGAGAATAGAAAGTTATTATCTATCCTGACAGAAATGGTGGCATGGATATGTCCAATTCAAGACTGGATATAATTAATCCGAGATTAAATATTGGACAAATCACGTTGGAAGGTTTTAATAAATGTGTCTGTGCAGGTTAATTGAGATGTAAGAATATGTTTGGTTTATCCAGGGTTAGGGTTATTACAAAAACATTGTGAAGGAGAAAGTATCAAAGTAAGCCTTTAAAGGACTGAAAAATTAAAGACACACACATACTGCATGTATTTACCCAATGGCATCAAAACCTGTATTACAGATTTTGCCTAAAATACATTATGAAAGCAAGTCTTAACATGATAGTGTTTTTTTTCAGAGATCACAATGTCAGGCTTTTTGCTTTTCATAATAATAATAATAATTATAAACTGTATTTATATCTGTTAGTATTTATTTATGTATGGCTCTGAGCAGCTGTTGGGGCAGGATCTTTAATTCTGTTTTGGAAGCGACTCAGTCCACTATCATAAATGCTGCTTTCAGGTATCCTCGTAAAATTATGTATTAGTGTAATCAAATAATATATAGATATTAAAAACGCATGACACACATGTATCGATGGTATTTATATTATGTTTTTATTTATGTTCCAACAGTATTTGTGGGCGTTTCCCCTTCATTCATTTACTGACGTGGAGACACAAGCATTTCCATTCTGCCACGTTTGTGTTAACAGATTTCGTCCATGTTCGACATTTCTGAGGTACTTGAACGCAGCATTTCCTTAAGCTAACGTTAGCTCTTCCTGCAGTGCTATGAGTTGAGCCACACTGAAGGTAACGGCATTTAATGATATAAAAATAGTTTTTGTATCATGTAAAATATGTATGTGTTCAACAGGAATGTATTTTCGATATGTTTGGAATCTCAAAGTATTTGGACAATGCTGCGTTATCATGAATTAGTTTAAATTAGCAGATGTTCACTTGTTGTAGGTAAGCTAATTTTAGCTAACGTTAGCTTCCATCTCCCAAGCTAGTAGGGAAGAGCATTCACAACACAGGCACTGAAACCGGAACTAGTGTTCTTTCCAGCAGAGTTGTCAGCTCAGAAAACAACTATATGGAAAAGAATACATTGTAATTTTTGTGTCGGTTTTCGTGTTGGTTTTGACCGTAAAAGTTACAGTAGACGTTAAATGTTGACAAAAGTGACATACATGGGTTTTAAACCGTTATAAGTAGATAAGCTTATCTTTGCCAGTTCACTAAAGCCTCGAAACGAGCTAAGCTACAGTATATGCAATGCCAAAATGTTGTTTTACTACAAGAAAATGTATTTTCTTCAAAGTCAGAGAAGATTGGAAAATCTATCTATGTTCATCAAATTACCATTAACCTATATATAATAGATATATCCACCCATATATACTTCAATATAGGTTTATTGAACTAAGTTTGCCATAATTAATATTAATATTATTATAACAGTGTATACAGTTGTTTTCTACAGTTAGTCATACTGTTTCACCATAATGTGCACAGGTTTTACTTGCATTTTGTAAAACAATCTTATAATATTGCTACGTGTTACTGTAATTCTTTACATGCCTCCCTCAGGAGGACAAATATGCATCCCCCTCCTGCGCACATGTTGGGCTTTTTAAAGAAAGGGCTGAAACAAATAGTTGCTTATTTGGTTGACAGAAAATCAATAAGTTGTGATGTCATATATTGCAACACATATATCATTCTTCTTTGCTTCTTTGTTTGAAGTTTGTTTGTGTTAACTTGCCCATAACGATATGTAACTGAATATCTTTGGCAGTTTGGGAAATTGTGATGTCGCATTTATCACTATTTTATAAATACTGTGCGATTAATACATTATTTGAGAAAAGTTTAAAGATAAATTAACAATGAAAATAATGATCTATTTCTCGTAACTCTTGCTTATGCTGCCATGCCACATATGAGCTGTGCTGTTAACACCTAACTTGTTTTGGCTGTGCTGACCTATGTGCGGTCTTATCTCCTCTCTCTGAAGTGCTGGGAATGCAGCCGCCGCTCCCCCCGGAGGCCGTCAGAGAGCTGGTGCGCTCCTGTCTGCACAGAGACCCCGTCGCAGCAGACCTCCGCTGCAGCCTGTTTGTTGCCGCTGCACAGAACTACAAGAGAGACTCTTTGCTCAGACCGTTCCCCCCGAGATACATAAGTAGTGACAATAAGGACTTTGAGGAGCTGGTAAGATATATAGTGCCACTCAATAGCATTTGAACAAACATTAATATTATTGTAACTTTATGCTTAAAAACACAAGTTGCCTATACCCAATGAGTATAGTGTTGGTGTGATACACATTCACTTGGTGGCAGTCATGTGCTGTTAGAGGCAGCAGTGTGTCAGTAAAGAAGTGGAAGAACATGACAATGATACATATTCAAAACAATTAAGTGGATTTGCAGATTCTTCTTGATAGAAACAATGCATGTTGCTAGGAAAGTATGTCAAACAAAACCATATTTATTTCCTATTAAAACTGTATAGACTCTTTTATAAAGCATATGAGTCATAACGATCTGAGATCTTTTAGTTAAGCAACACTTAAAAACAAGTGAAAGGTGTGCCATCCTAAGTTTTGTTATGTGATGCATATATCATACTGATCAAAAGGAAGCTGTTATTGCTCTCAGGAATGAAAGGCTGTATCTGTGTCAACTTTAGGGCATTTTGAATGAGCAGGTCTCTAACATTTGATCAAAAATGCCAAAACCAAAGTCGTTCAGAATAGTTTGAGTGACAGTAAATATACAGTTTATGCTGTATATCACAGATTTATTTACTGGTTTCTGTGCGCATGGTTATGATATAAAATGGATTAAATAGCCACATTTCAGACAAATGTTTACGAAAACATCACAAACATACAGTTCATCAAAAAAAATGGGCTTTTCTAGTTGGCAGATGTGCAGTCTTTGCCTGGTGTGAGAGAGTTGGTGAGACTACGACCCAGAGAGGGAGATCATCATCTGGCTCTGACACACTGGATCCTCTCCTCAAAGAGCTTTGCTGTAAAGACCCTGCAAAAAGACGAGGTACACCTCTAGTAGTACAAATACAGACATTTCTTTGTTATTGCTTTTATGTTTACAGTGTGTTACTTGAATCTCTTCCAGTATGCCAAACTGTGTGACCTCACACAAAATGAAGGAACTTCTGGGCCAGTGCCTGACTTCCTGTTTGAGCTGGAGTACTGTGATCAGATGAACGCTAGGTTTGAGAAGATGAGGGAGGGCAGAGACCTCTTCTATGCATTCCACGGGAGTCGTCTGGAAAACTTTCACTCTATCATTCACAATGGGCTACACTGTCACCTCAACAAGGTTGGTGAAGTCATCACTGGTTCATTTCTCCTCTGCCCGGAGGAATATACTAAAATTGTTCCTTTTTGGACTGTTATAATGCAATATAATACAAATGACATAAGGGAGGGTTTTAAAAAATATTCTGATGTTGCTGCCTGACACGTCGTAGCATGTTGTTTTATTTTGTGGCCGCTGTGTGCAGAACTCGGTGTTTGGCGAGGGGACCTACCTCACCAGTGACCTCAGCATGGCCGTCCTCTACAGTCCACACAGCAGCGGCTGGGGAGAGAGTCTGCTGGGCCCGCTGCTCAGCTGTGTCGCTTTGTGTGAAGTCATTGATCACCCAGATGTTAAGTGCCAAGTGAAGAAAAAAGGTGTGTAAATCATGTATCACGCAGAATCAAACACATGTGAATTCCAATGAGACAGACTTTTTAATTGCTTGATATTACATTTCCCCGCACATTTTTCTTTTCAGATTCTGAAATCATCGACCGCCAGCGCTCAAGAGCGAAGAACAGCGAAGGAGGGGACGTACCGCAGAAGTACTTTGTGGTCACCAACAACCAGCTTCTGCGAGTCAAGTACCTGCTAGTTTACTCTCAGAGGAGACACCTGTCCAGGTAAGAGTCCCTTGTGGGTGTATGATGTAAATGCTGAAACAAGTATTTATTTGCTAACTTGCACCTTTCTTAAAAATATACTTTTAAGTGCAAATATATATGAATCATTGCTAGTGCTGCCGAGCAACACAATGGGGAAAGTGTGAAAAAGTTCAACTTAATGTTCATTTCCTCTAAGCAAGCAGGATCGAAAACCACTCTGCTTGTTATCATTCCCGTTGAACAGAAACACAGCATTGTCTTTCTACTGCGCTCAACAACGCAAATGTCAGTCAAAGAATATGTTATTAAATAAGAAGAATGGGGAATGCTTCTTATTTTTGGCAGTATGGTCCATAATTCACTAATTATATAACTTAATTTGAATGTTGATTTATAAGTTGAATGTAAACTAAATGAATGATGCATCTTTGCTTATAACTATTTGGTACTGTCCTTTTAAAAGAAAGACACTTAAAGCAGTTTGGCAGAAATAAACAAAAAACTCTGCAATGTTTGTTGTTGCCTAAGCACTTTGAATTGCCTTGTGTTGAAAAGTGCTATATAAATAAACTTGCCTTGCCTTGCCTTGCCCAAACAAAAAGTAACAACAAAAAAAGAATATACTTGAGAAATTGCTTCTCAGAAGCTAAAAGAGTATAATACAACAGTCACAAAATAATATAATTACAATCATGATTTTGTTTTATTTGAAAAAAAAAAAACAGAACAGTATTTGCCTTGTGTTTCTGGAAACAAAAGAAAAGAAATACATCGTTTTTGGTTTTATGGTAAACAGGATGTCCTTTTTGTTTTTCTCCCCAGGCGTTCCCGCAGCACCTCCTGGCTCCTCAGACATCATTTTGCCATCATGATGAGTCTCTACATCCTGCTGCTCATATTCATCGGTGCCTTTAACTCCACCACCTTCATTTCCTTTTGGAGCCGACTGTTCAGGTGACAAGACAACCGACAGAAGTGCCTTCCCGTCACAGACTGACTGGAGGCCTGAGCAAAGATAACGTTTTATGCACCTTTATACTGTTTTCTCTCTACAATCATTCTCTCCATTGTTCACAAAACCATAATAACTGTATGCCCATGATCTTTTCAGTGTAGCTGTTGGGATCACATTATGTTTGAATCGAATTGAAACAGGGAATCAAAACCATTCTGCATTTTGAAAATGTTATGCAATTTTCATCTGTAATTTGATTGTTTTCATAGCAGAAATGTTGCTGTGTGGTTTTAGTCTTACTAACCAAAAAAAACATATTGTTTAAATAACTGCACAGCAAAGAGCCAAGCGCTAACATCTCGTTTTGATTGATTAAGTCTTAAGTAAACCTACTGAGAGTTATTAGCACATTTACTGATTGCATTGACTCATCGGTGTCTGGGATCCGATGATACGGCACTAATAACAATGTCCACATTTTCTCTTTTAATCTTATGATTTTGTATTGCTCAGTTATGGGTAGGGACCTTTTTAATTTTTCATGATTTAAGTCTAATTTTAAGGTATTAAATAGAACGGTTAGGTTTATTAAAGCTATATGTGACAGCTATTGTAGTTGTGCTGACATGCTGTATTTATACTGACGGATCACAGAAAGGCCACCTAAAGCCTCATTTATAAAATCTTCAGATATTCTTCTATATCTTTATAATAGTGAAGAAGGTAAACTGTATATCGGCTTATAGCCTAAATGTTCTGAAATTTTGTTACGATTTTGGACACTAATAAAGCTATACTTTTGATGAAAGTTTCACAGGTTTGAGTGATTTTATTTGGTTTCAAAGTTGACTTAGTTGGTCTTTACCTGATTTAAATTACACATTTCTCTAAGTTCTAAAACTTTGGGAAACTTGTTAGATTATGTAAGTACACACAACTCGACAAAATGTATTTTTATTTTGTTATTATACTTATTGATGCGGAGAAGTTCCTTATTATACCTTTTAAATACATCTTCAAAATGGTGGCTTGACTTAAAATGAGTACCACTCATTATTCAGACATGGTGAGAATAATCGTGTTTGAGCTGCTTCCCGTACATAAAACATACTTGAAGGTCACTCTTTCATAATCATCTATTGTACTTTTCTATTGTTTTGTGTCGTATTCAAACTTTAACATGGGTTTCCTCAGACAGGGGCACATTTATTACCGCTGGCATGCAGACAGTCCTTTGTTATCCAATGTTTTTATCAGTAAAAGAAAAAAGAGACAGCTATATGGGATTGATAACACAGGCGGCCTGCTTTGGTGACAGACAGTCCTACTAATACCTGATGTCACAATGTGTTTGCAGAGAAAAATATACAAAAGAAGAGAACGTTGGTGGTGTTTTATAGTTTGGCATAAACATGTAAGAGGACCATTTTATAACTGAAAAAGTGAAATTATTCGTTTAACGATACTTACACACTTCACAAAGAGAGATGTTTGTGAAGTTTAAGCATTAAATGTAATATTTTGTGCTAATAAAGCCAGCCTTATAAACAATTAGACTACCTTTTTGATTTAACTAATTTAATCAATTTGTGCATAATTGCTTGTATAATACTGAAAGCACATACACAAGACAAGTAGCTGCACACTCCTCTCCGTCTGATTTAATGCTGCATATTATTTATCTAATGATTCAATTAACTGACAAAGTTAAACGGAGATGAAAGAAAATGCAGGTCTTTGTTTTGGTATAAAAAATATATTTCTTGTCGGGAAATCTTTCAGATACACTGTTTCTCCTCTTCAGGATCGGCTCACATTTGAAGGATGAAGACCTAATAACTGTCCATTGTTTGTCCAAATGTTATTCCCTTTCTGTGCAAGCTTCATTATAGCTGCCTCATAAACTGTATGTTATTCAATAACCATCATCTGTCAGGGGGGCAGTGATGGCGAGGGGGCTCCAGACACTTAATTTCCCCTGTGACCCAGACAAAACTCCCAAAATGGAAACAGTGCCAGACTGATTTCATGGTTCGATTTAAATTGTTGAACCCAAATTAGTCCACTTAATTTCTCTGCCTCAAGATTATTTTTCTTTCTTTTGAAATATAAATATTTCTGCATTGCTTCTACTTATTCAATTGCACATGTCTTAGTTCATGATTGTCAAACTTCTTATACTAAACTTAAATGCTAATATCAACATGCTAACATGCTCACAACGTTAACATGCTGAAGTTAAGCAGGTTTTGTTGACCTTATTCATTATCTTAGCTTAGCACAATTAGCATGCTAAAATTCGCTAATTAGCACTTTATCCAAAGTACTGCTGAGGCTTATTTGAATGTGATTCGTTTTTTTAATATTTCCAAGTTGAGATATTTTGGTCTGTACCAAAGGCTGTAAAACTCTATCTAATAATAATACTATTGCGCTGTACTATTAATCGAGTCCAAATATACGGAGTAGAATCATTTTCAAGATAAATTAACAAGGCAGGTTGATTTTGAACTAAAGATCTGATCTGATCTTAAATTTTATGAATCTTCAAATTTGTGTCCACTAGGTGAAATGTGTTGTGCAGCAATGTAACAACATGGAGCACACACACAATCTCAAACTCAATACACACTGTACATAATACACAGTCACTCTTCTTACATACAATAATCTATGTAAAAATATATGCTATAAAGTAAACCATAAGCACACAAGCTAACCGATAATAAATTGAATTTGAATTGAATGATATACATCAAGTGACACGACACATCATTTTATTTTCAATGATTTATACATTTATACATTTCACAGGTTTTATTTAGTTAACATTGCTTACAAATGGGATTGTTTGATAAAAAAATATTGAAGTTATACACAAAGTTTATATATAGCTGCCTTTTTCCATTTTGCTACAATGAAAATGTACTATTTTTACACCTTCACTGTGTTTGGACAGGCTGGGACCAGACACAGAAAATGCCCCTCAGGATGACTCTACAAAGAAACACAAGAAAGACACAGTGTTTGATTAATGAGTAAAGTGCACAACATGATGCAGAAATACTTTGAATGAAGGCTTTTTGATGTGATGTATTCTTACCTGCAGGTTGTTGTTGCATACAGTGTTATGAGTGGCTGTCAGGTGATTGTGCACACACTTCCCAAACTGGCGCAGGCAGGATGAGTCAGCGGGGGTGCAGGTCTGAGTGCATGATGGGGGTTTCAGGAGCAGACAGCTTGAACAGGAGGTGTGTTGGCAGGAGCCCTGGCATGCTGTCTTCTCCAGAGAGACAAGCCTACAGTGCAGGACATTTAGATTCCTGTTAACAATGCATAAGGGGAAGATATCATAGGGATATCGTCTTTCTTTGGGTCTTTTGTGTTACCTGGCAGAGCAGATTTCCGTGCGGTTTGCCTGACAGTACTCCCTGGTGCACTCTGGGTGACAGCTCTCTGGATCCAATGATTCAATCACTGCACAAAACAACATTAAAAACTCTTAATAAGAGAGTCTAGGACTTGCAACTCACATGGCCGATTAGATATACATTTTCATATTTACATATTTTACTGTGCAGCAACAAAATATAAAAAGTCTTATCTTGTACTACGTCTGATATCGTATCAATAACGGTGACAACTCTTTTCACCCTGAGGAGATAAGAGGCGTCATTATGGTTTGACTGATAGAAGAACCCTTTGAATCAAAGGAAGCCTTGACACACTATCAGGCTTCACACCTCATAAACTACATTCACCATTTTGGCGCCATTCCCACCACAATGATAGTGAATGATGTTGGATTTTAACATCTTTTTATTTACATTTATTTCATTGCTATCGTAGTTAACGTTTAAAATAAAGATTATGACTTTAAAAAAAAATATATATGATACCTTAGGTTAAAGTTGAACCATCTAACAGTATATACATATTCAAATATCTCTTCCTCAACAACTTAAATATGCAGCAAATATGTATATATATTTGTTTCTTCTTTACTTTTCTTTGTTAATATTTATTTGAGTTTTTATAACAGGGTCATCCAGTCGACAGCCTTAAGAATTAGTTGTTTCAATAAACTCATGTGACAAAATGCAGCTTATATTTTAATGAATCTGTGGAAATATTGCAATATTATAGTAAATATAAATATAACACTGCCAGGAGCAATTCTACTGCATGATTGACACCTTTATTGTTTTAATTTTATTAAAAAATGTGTACATTCCTCTAATGATGCTTCTTTACTTTTTCTTAAGTAACATTTTGAAAAGAGGGCTTTTACTTGTAATTGAGTATTTATACATTAATCTTTTGTGTACATATTGACTGTTGTGATGCTGTGTCTTTTTATAAATTCAATTAGTGATCAACCTATGAAAACATTTGGCTCACTGTGGCATATTCCAAATAATCAGTAATTCAAATGTTATCACATTACCTGCCTGACACTAATTGAGGTTATAAACTTTAATCTCACCTGCTTTACAGACGCCTCTGCGCTCTGCGTCTGGTTTGTCTTCTGCTCCTGACTCCTGGTAAACACACAGCAGGCCCTCGTCACACTTGCCCAGATAGTCCCACGTCCCCCCGCAGGTGTCCCCCTCCGCCCGGGCACAGACGGGGCAGCAGCCACACACACCTGTCGTGATGCCCCCTTTACACTGGAGCTTCAGCGCCCGGCGGGTGGAGCAGTGTATGCGCTCGCAGGGCGGGCAGTGAAGGGTCTGGAGCTGCTGAGCTGCAGCAGAGGGCGTTTCCTGTGACCCCACGACCCCCAACAAGGCACTCAGAAAGAAGAGCATCCACATTATTCATCAACCTGATTATTCTGAGGAGAGAACACCTGTCTGCACCTTTTATATACACGTGGGCCCCCGGGATAACACACTAACTTCATAGTTTAAGAGCCACAACCTCCACCACCCACCCAGCAGCCAATAGACGAGGGCAGAGGGGTTTCCACTCTAAATACACAGTCTTATCTTATCAACAGTGTGATTTTGTTTTGAAATAATTCTTTCTTTTGAACACCTGTTAGATAAGTCTAATGAAGACTGGCCCCCATTGTGTTTGGAGTCACATGACCTCTGGAAGGGGCAATTCAGTGCACACCTACAATCAGGTAATGACCTATTTGTTAAAAGAACAAAAGGATCAAGACATCAGCATGTTATCTGATCAGGACATCTCGCAGCGCCGTATCTCTGAATAAAAACTCAGACAGGTGTGTACATAATAATAAAAGGAGACTACTGTCACTGGATATCTATTAAATGACACTGGATGTGTCAGTATAAATGCCTTATTCTTTTTATCTGGCTTCCTTTTTACAGGGTGCCAAGAAGCTGCAGAGCACAATAAGTTAATTCATAAATCCCACTTCAGTATTTCAGACACAAGGGGATTGTTAGATGGCTAAATATTTACCACCTTATTGAACTTCAAAAGGGCTTTTAATAATGTTTGGAGTTTGAAAAGTAACTCAAACTAAATGTATTGCAAATTGCCTCATACTTAATTTACCATTATTATTGTACTATTTCAACAATTTGACAATTTATACACCCGAGCAACAAACAGAATTAGTAGAAGCGGGGAGGGCAGAAAGCATAGCTTATATAGAGGTAGCCCACCCGTTAGTCATCCAGTTGCAGGATAAAGAGAAAAAGAGAAATCCATAATTAAATCCATACAAATTAAACAAAATTATATATGTATATATATATATATAATTTTTTTTAATTTGCACAAACATAATGTACATATATATATATATATATATATATACATACACCCATTTCCAGGGTGAAAATAAAATAAAGCAACACAAAAAGATTCCTACAAGTCCATGTTCAGAGATAACAAGACATTTAATGATGATTTTATGATAATAGTTATTATAATTATTATTAATATTGGATTACTATTATTATTATTACCTTATATCCATATCATATTTTTTCATTTATTTTTAAATTAAGCCAACATTCTGAAATTATGCAACACATTTGACATTTAAATAATTAGTTTGTGGGAATAGTTACCCTATCTCAGCTCATCCAATTAGTATTCAAAGCTTGATGAAAAAAGAGCCAGTGTTTACCCCATAACACCATAGGTTACATCATATTAAAAATGTTTCACAAAAACACATTTAACAATTTGAGTGTCTCTAAAGTATTCTGTCAGTATATCACTTTCTCTATTCCAAGTAATCTGATGAATGAAGTTATGCAGTCCCTCTTCTGTAGTGTGAACGTATTGCAGTGTGGCAGGATCTTTTAAAACATAAATGCAGTGGTGAAATATAACTAGGGTTATTATTAAAAACCTTTGATTTACTAAATAATGTATTTCAGTACAATATTGAGGTCCTTGTATTTACTTGAGTATTTCCATGCAGTAACAAAACAAATAAGAATCCTTTTAGTTGATATTTTGTTTCCAAGGTTCATGACCAGCTCTATTATCATGTATGCTTTTATTACAGTATTGCTAAACTAGAATAACATACCATCTATCTGGGGCAAAAATCCACATTGCCAAATTAAAACATGCATTTTAATAATTACTAGGAGGCTCTCAGTCGTATAAAAATGTATTTATTTTCAAGGAAACCATTGAGTAACACTGAATACAACAGGAGTGATCATTCAATAGTGAATAAAACTTGTGACTCCTACATCGTAAAGATCCCACATACAAGACGTCTTGGAAAACAAGATTTCAAAGCAAACATGTTGGCAATTTGCTGGTGCTACAATTTCATCTCCCCCCCACATAACAAATTGAGGTGATACACACCTGTATAGAAAAGTGACAAGATTTTTACATCAACTTACAAAGGGCTGGATGTCAAAGTGCAAGATGCCTGAACCCCCCCCCACCCCAGCCCTCGTTAAAGAGGACGATCGAGGTGTCGAAATCAGAAATGGACTGTCAAATACAAATCTCCAAAATTATCATTCTGCCATTATGGCTTTGTATTCAGTTGAGACCCAAGTCTAGCTTACATTACATTAAAATATTGTTTCAGAAACACTTTCCTCCCAAAGAGACTTTTTTTTTTTTAAACTGCACCTTATTACAGACAACTGCTTGTAATGGACTAAAGCATCACAGGAATAATGCAGGCATACAACAGAAATGCAGCCGTTTATCAACAACTTCAAACAAAACACACTAACCTTTTGTTTGTTTATAAAAGCAACCGAATCGAAGAATACATACTAAAATCCGAAGTGAAAATAAAAGGACTTAAAAACCTTGAAGAAAAAAAAAATATGTACATATATTTACAGGTAAATAGAGTGAATATTTTACAGGTTTGACTGGCTGTTCAAGGTGAGGCCGAAGCCACCAGGGTCCATAAAATCCAACACTGCGTGACATTCAGTTTAGTCAATCCAAAATGGTTCTTAAAAGACAGAATACCTTCCAGGAAGCCGCCTCCCAGGAAGGTGCACTAAAAACAAGCGAGCGAAAAAAGGGAAAGTCTGCCGCTGCGAGCAGTTTGTTCTGAATCTGGTCTGATTGTGTTTGTATAAAAACATCCAGGGCTTTTTTTGACTCAACAAATCTTTCAATTTTTTGCATGATTTAAAAATTAATAATAATGGCAATGTTTGCAAAGAGAAATCCATTTAATATATTCTTCTAGGAGTCTGTTTTTTGTTTGTTTTCCAATGTTGATACCATGTTGAACTGAGACGAACATGAGGTCATCAGTCTGGAGGAAGGAGGTTGTGCAAACGAAACTGCTCTCGGATGTGCGGCCTGACATCTTCATTCTGTGATAAAGAGAGGGAAACGGATCAAAAAAATATCGTATGAGTTTTATGGTTCTCAATGGGAGAGGCAGACAAATAAAACCGGATGTCACAGAGATGCTGGTTTGCAGAGGACCTATATTATGGCATGAACTCCCTGCAGGGGCCGCCTGTGGTCTAAATTAGGTGCCAATCTGTCAAGTCTTTAATTTGTCGCGTAGAAATTCCAACTGCAAATGACCTGCCATATTGGCCAACCAGAAGTCTTGGAATAATATTTGTATGGCACCAACTCCGATCTCTAGGGAAGATTATTGGTTTTCTCTGGGCCTTTTTTTCCTTCTCCTCTTTACGGGTCATAATAATGGACGTTGCATGGCCTTTACACACAAAAGTCTTGACAGCATTTTGGGTGCCAAGTCAGATGTTTTATCTCACGACACGGCATGGATACCAGTTTGCACTTATTTAATTAAGTGGCTAATAAGTAAATGGAATTAAGTTCCTGTGTAAAATTATATATTAAATACTATCGTGGGAATAACCAGAAGGGGCTGATTCTGTGGAATATGAAATATAACATAACACACGACCAAGGGCAGGGGTAGACGTTAAGGGTAAAATTATCACTGGCCCCACCATTGTTTATTGTTTATTTATAAAGCTTTGTTGGGTAAACTCCCGTATTATATCTGCTCTCTGATAACACAGAGAGTTGCAAGCAGCTATTGTCTGAGATCGCATGATGTAGTATTGTTAGATGTGCCAAGAGCAAGGACTGTCTTAGGTAAGACAGCTTTTATGTGCGCAGCACCACTGGCTTGGAACAATCTTCAGCAAGAACTGAAACTGAGCAATCTCATTCCTCTGCATGTTTTTAAAGCTAGGCTAAATGAAATGCTCGTTGATACTATGGGTACTTGTAAATGTCTATAACTATGTAAATGTATCCTGTAAATATAATGTATGATGTCCTTTATTGTTTTATGTTTCATGTGGAACCTATATGCTGCAGGTCTCCCTTGAAAAAGAGATCTATGATCTCAATGGGACCATCTGGTTAAATAAAGGTTTGAAATGAAATGAAATTGTAACCACTGGCCCAAGAGCATTCGTCCCAAAAAAATCGACTAATAATGAAGAAAATGAACACATTTGTTGCAATAGTCATTTATGCACAAACTACATTACTACAACATTTGAATCATCAGTTCTTCCTCATTTTCCTCTTTTGTTAAAAAATGTCTGCTATTATCATTATTATGAGTATTATTATTTGTATAATGCGCTTTCTGCCTTCCTGTCATCAGGAGTTAGAAATGTAATGGCTATGTAATAGATTAGAACCTTCATTCTCCTAAACTGCTGGGACATTTCCCTATAGCCAA